GCTGCTCTCTAGGGTTGGGTTTTTCGACGGCTCGAATTCAGAGAAGCTGAAGAATTATAGGAAGTCTGCAGAGGCTGTGATGTGCAATCTTCTTCCAGAGTCTCCATCTGCCACATCTAGCAGAACAAAGAGTAAAATTAATTAATCCCTTTTTCCATTCTTGAATTTTGATTTTTCTTGAGCACTTTTAGATCATGGAAAGTGGTTCATTTTGAATCATATAACCTTAATGTGGAACAAATTTATGATCAGTTGGTATGGTTCATCGAGCTATTCTAGAATGCCGTACACTACAAAAAAATTGTTATACTCCCACGGAAAATCCTATGGTAATTTATTCCATTGGAAATTCTAACGGATATTCCAATAGTATAGATTGCGTTGGAATGATTCCAACGAAAAATTCCTACGAAAATATTCCGTTGGAATGTGTTTTCCATTGAAATTTTAGATGGAATTTGATGATTTCAACGGCTTTTGACTGTAGGAATTTCGGTTGAAATTTTTATTTCCACCCCTTGAAAAATCTACCGTTGGATTCCTCAAAATTCAACGAAAATTTCAATGGAAAATTTATTCCAACGAAAATAATTGCATTGAAAAATATCCATTAAAATTGTCGTTGGAATTCTATTTGAATATATTTCCGTTGAAATTTCATTATTTTCGTGTAGTGGTATCAAACTGTAATAATACTAATCGAAACTCGAAAATGTATCAAAATTAAATATTTTCCACAACATAATTGAGTGGCTTGTTTTGTCATCCCCCAAGTCAATTTCAATTGCTAAAAGGTATTGTAAAACTTGACCTATATATATATATATAGGCTATATATATAAAATCACTAGTTATTATTCTTATTATTGTATATAGTGATCATGTTAGTCAAATTCTAAGTAAAAAATAAATAAATATTATTCATATGTAGGTGGTTTAATATGGGTGAGCGAGTGGAACGCTTTGCAGCACCCAGTGGCATCGGCTTTTCTAGCACTACTTTACAGTGATTATATGCTCTCTTCTCGAACTCCAAAGATTGTTTGTGATGGAAACAATTTCACGCCCAAAGACCTTCGAAATTTTGCAGCCTCACAGGTACATGATGTTTGCTAATTTTTGGTCAGCACATTGTGCCTAATAAGCTATTTTAATTACATTACAAGTTTTTTTTGTAATACTTATTATTTAATTAAAAAATAAGTAGGACATGCCAAATATTTTAGGGAAAAGAAAACTCATTTGATTTGAGAAACTGCTGACCGACTTACTTAATTGGGTATAATATTCGCGATTTAGTTAGTTAATTAATATATTTTCTGTAATCGTAAAAAATATTCGATAAATTTTTTTATGTGCAAATTGTAATTTTGTCAAGTTTTCTTTCCTAATGCAAGTAATGTTTGGTCCAACTTTTCTCAATCATCATTCCCACAAAATTAACGGCTTTTGGAGAAGTTGATAACCGTAAACATATTAAATTGGGTAAATTGTGAATTTAATTTAATGTCCACACTAAGGTATAATTTCAATATCAGTACATTACATTCAAGTTATCGCAATATCAGTACTTCTCTATCAAAACATTCACATTTTTATCTGGTTGTTAAGTTGTTAAAACTAATATAATTTATTATTATTATTTTAGAAAACATATTCTTTTCTGTTAGTTTTAACGAGAAAGGTTATTGTTTTTATAAACATTTTTTTTTTACGACTTATCGGTCGGATAGGGTATACGAAAATTGAAAGTATGTCTATTTGAATTCAAGATTATCCCTTTTAAATTTGATGACCATTTAACAAATTAGCTAGTTTCAAAACAACAAAGATGAATTTTGTTATGAATGCATGACAATTAATCAATTATATTGTCAGGCCGATTACGTTTTGGGCAACAACCCAATGAAAATGAGCTATCTCGTGGGGTACGGTGACGTGTACCCAGAGCACGTGCACCACCGTGGGGCTTCTATTCCGGCCCACGAGAAACCAAGCTGCAAGCAAGGCTTCAAGTGGCTCGACTCGAACGAGCCCAACCCTAATGTGGCCACGGGTGCACTCGTTGGTGGGCCGTTTCTTAACGAGTCGTATGTTGATGTGAGGAACAATTCGATGCAAGGTGAGCCCACGACCTACAATAGTGCCGTTTTTATCGGGCTTCTTTCGGGCTTGGTGACTACATCGTCCGTCGTGCAATCGTTTTCCTAATTATCTTTATTTTTTAATTAATAGTTACCGAAAATTATAAGATTGTAAGGTTTTATTTTTTTTTTAGATGAAGAAAAATAAAACAGTAATTGAATTACACGTCTTGAAAGTAAATAATGCAATCAAACGAGTCTTAACGAGTCGATCTCGAGCTTTAATGAGCCAAACTAAAAAAAAAAGTTATATAAAAATTGGCTTTTCGAGTTTCATGGAGTCGAGTCGAGCTCAGCTTATTAATAAGACGTGCTTTAAATAAGCTCAAATCGAGATGAGCCAGAATCGTTTAATTTAACAGCACTATGCAAACCATAACTTTGGAAATATTGCATAAAACATCCCACAGTGCATTAAAAGGACTGTGTAAGTAATATTACATACATCATATCATATATTTTCTAGTCTAGATCTAATTAACTTGTTTTGGTGTTATGATAACTTGGTCAATTTAGACAGAATTCATTTATGAACTTTGCCTAAGGTCTTAATTGTGAAATATTTGTATAGGATTTATATTTGTTTCGACATGCTATACATTTTACATTCTTGTGTGTCCCAATTGTTGCTCTAACTCCCAACTCAACTTTGATGCAGCTTCATCAAGTATTGGAACATAATCCTGAAATATGAAAGAGATATAAATAATAAGTTAAATGTAATGATACTATATACATAATACGTAAACGGAATATATAAGTAGAGCTGTTATTCGAATCGAGCGTTCTCGAATACAGTTCGATTCGACTCTTAAAAGCTCGATGAACTGGTTTATTTACTTATTAAATGAATCGAGTCGAGTCAGACATGTTTGCGAATAACTTGTTTATAATTTTGAGTTATTAAACAAGGTGAGCAGAGTCGAGACAAGCTCGAGCTGAATCTTTGGCTTGTTTATTGAATGAACCAAGCTAGAATATGAGCATAAAGTGGTTGTACCTCAAGCTTAGACATGAGTTCATGGGCAGTTTGGGCAGAGACAATAATGTGACGGGCAGAGAGAGTAATGAAACCCTCGTCAACAGCTTTGTCTATAAAAGTCAACAATGAGTCGTAGTACCCATCTACGTTCAGCAATCCTACCTGCAATAATTCAAATTTGACAAAATCTAAAGTCCAAATTAATGAATCCTAATTAAGGCTCTTTTGGTGTTCTATTTCTTTTCAAGTTAAGTAATATAAAACATATATGCATGTACATATATAATTATATATATACACACATTGTGGTGAATAATAATAATAATAATAATAATAATAATAATAATAATGACAATAATATAAAAATTTTGTAAAAATTTATTTTGTGTACATGTGTTTACACTTTACACAGAAAAATCATGTTTACTTGTCTTTACGAGTTTTTTTATTATTGCATAAACACACATACACACACATGTGGATATGTGTGCCTCGTGAGAATGTTGCCTTCACTGGTAGGATTGAATTTTTCAACGTTTATTAAAAAGTCCATAAATAGAAAAAAAATATATAATTTAATTCTCGACTAGATGAAATTTTTAATTAAAAAATAAAATTGTTGGGAATAAATATGTAAAAAGTGTAGAATTACCGGTTTATCATGGATTCCAAGTTGAGCCCAAGTGATGACTTCTAGCAATTCTTCCAATGTACCATAACCACCTGCAAATTTATATTTCTATTTAATTTTTATTTTTAAAATAAAATAAACACAGACAGGCAATTAGGTATTGACTGGGCATCAACCAATAGATTTATGCGACAATTATTAAACAAAGAAAAAAAAAGTACTCTTTCCATTTCATGACATAATAGTTTTTCAATTTGCTTCCACTTTATGTAACATTTCAATATTCCAATTTAATAAATTCTATGAAAGCAACAACTAAGATATATAAATTATTGTTGATTAGAGATTAATAATTGATTAATAAATAATTAATTACCAGGCAAGGCTATGAAGGCGTCAGCTTGTTTAGCCATTTCTGCTTTTCTTTGGTGCATTCCAGACACTGCCTTCACCTCCCCGACTGGCTCCCCAGTTATCTGATTATTATTATTATTATTATTATTATTATTATTATTATTATTATTATTATTATTATATAAGCTATGCCATTAAACAAAATTAATATGGGTTACCTCAATGGGCATTAGAGTTCTGGGAATCACCCTGAAGAAAATAAAATATCAACATGGATCAATGGTAAAAAATGATGGAACACTACAAGAAAATAAAATCAGCATTTGTTAGATCATATTCCAAAGGAATTTTAATGTATTTTAATAGATATTTCAATATTAGACCTTTTGTTGAAATTAATTTTGTATTGAAATTTTGATTGGGATTTTAACAATTCCAAAAAAACTAGTCTAGTAATTGAATTATTATTGTAAAAAAAAATCGAATTACGTACCCAATACCACAATAAAAATTTGTACGACAATACATCGTATTTGAAATCGTCAAATTCGAATTAAAATTCCAGCGAAGATTTAATTCCAGCAAAAGTATTTTACTATGGTTATCTGTCACAATTTCCAATATCACAAATGATTTTGAAATATTCATTGGATGGAGTTTTTATTTGAATAATAATAATAATTATAATAATAATAATAATAATAATAATAATAATATATAATAAGAATTAACATTTTTCAAAAATAGTAAGTCAAATTTTGGTCAAAATTTCATCTGCATTAATTACTTGCCACTTTTGGCAACTTTCTTTTTATTTTCTTACAAAAAAATTGGGCAGCATTAAATGTTGCCCTTAAAATGTGGGATTTGTTCATTCACAAAAGATTTGAACACATTTTTACAGATTAAGACCCTTATTTCAAATTAAATTCAAAAAAGAAAATGATTCTGTTGATACATTCGAGTAATTAATCGTTTCACAATCAGTAAACTAGATTTTTTAATACAGTCAAAATTTATATAACCGACTAAGATTTGTAACATTTTTAAAACAAATAGAGATTCAAACAAAAAATGAGACTTCATTTCTTGTATTCATTTTTTTCGACTGAATAAATTCGGATTTTGACCGAAAATCGAAAAATTTTTCCAGATCCGTCCATTAAACTTACGAAATTTCTAAAATCTACTAAAAAAATGCAATATAAATCAAAATAATTGAACAACAAATTACATAAGTCTCGATATTAAAAAGAAAAAGCTTTTGAAATGGTCGAAATAGTAATAACAGGGTCAGTCTTTCATCAGTTTCGACCAAAAAACAAACATTAAATATTAGAACACACAAAAAAATATAACAATCAAAAGAAATAAAATAATAGAGGCATTTTCTAAACATAAAGACAAAATATAATATCGATCTATCTAACATAAGAAATCGACTCGCAATAGATGTGATTGATTGTTTAAAAAATAGAGCATTTTTGTGAAAATTTGAAAGAATATTTTATCAAGTTTCTAGAAATGATATAAGAGAAAGAATAGAGAAGGAAAGCGGTGGGAGGAGGAGAAGAAATGACATAACCCTAATAGTTTGGATATTTTTAACTTTTTTAGATGATATATTTGATTTCTGATCGTTAGATATCGATTAACTAATTCAAACCGTCTGATCCATTCCTTTAAGCCATAACGGGTTGAGATGTTGGGTCGCACTTAATGGTTCGGTCTGCTTTCATGGTTGGGCTTTATTTGGGTCCATTCAATAATATGTTATTGGCCCATTAAGTTTGACCCGACCAGTTTAGTTGAGTACATTATATTATGGAGCATAATTGGGCTTCAAGTTGCTTCACTATATAAAAATAAATAAATATATAAATTCCATAAATAATTACAGTCGTGCATAGCACGGATTACTCAGTGTAATAATAATAATAATAATTATAATAATAATTTTTAAAATCTTGCGTACTCAAATTTTCACATGTGACATCATAATTCTCTTTTAAAAAGGCATCAATAGTGGTTCCTCACTTACGTGACTCGAACTCGAAACCTATTTATAATTGTTATTTAATATTGTTTACCCGTGCATCGCACGAGGTATGCACTAATAATAATAATAATAATAATAATAATAATAATACCCTAACACGTGACGTCCACCATCGTACACAGCTTGAGAGACGAGGCCCATGAGCCCAATACTCCCACCACCATAGACCAAGTTTATGTTCCTTTCAACCTGTCCAAATTAATTAATTAATTAATTAACTAATTAATAAATTAATTAAACTTGTCCCCTTACATATTTACATGTTTAGTCACATGCATCAACACGTAATTAGCTCTCAATCTTGTCATTTAATTTTAATTTTATTTTTATAATATCATATTCTAACAACTTACCTCTACTAGTATTTTGGCTTTTTTATTCATTTTTTTGGAATATATTTATTTATAATAAGACTTTAAAACTCAATTTCCCCCTTCATTTTCGGGAGTGCTTGATCTAATCAATTTCAGAATAGTTCTTAAATGGAAAAAACTATAAATATGTTCATTAATTAAGTTGGTGCAGAACTGCAGATGACAAATTCGTCCAATAATTTTATGATTTTCACGAAATACCCATTAAATTAATACAAATCAAGTAAAACGTGTCTAATAATTACGCAAAAAATAATTATATGCTCCAAGTTACTAGGCATATTTTACAATTTTTTATTCTTAAATTAATTTCAGGGGGTGATTTGTTAAATAATGAATGAATAAATTGAATAATAACTAGAAGAGCAATTATGTAATTAATTATATTAATTAAGATTTAATTACCAGTTGATTCCCCAATTGGATAGCTGCAAGCTGGTAACTTGGGTTTTTCCCAGGACTGCTGCCACAGAAAACACATATCCTTTTGAATCTTGATGCTTTTGCTGGACTATTTTCCATTGAAACAAGCAATTATATATAATTAGCACCAAACAATTTTCTTTTCAAATTATGAAAATAAGAAGTGAAAA